TCTCTCTCTCTCTGCCTCTTTTTTTATTTTTTTTCTTCTGTATATTCAATGGTATCTTCTTTTTCTGATTGTCTTCTATTGATTACCTTCAATTAGTGCCATGGCATCGTGCAGGCAAAATATAACAGTCAAATCCCCCCCCCAATCTGTATTTAAGGACCTGTCGGGTACTTTGCTCTGCAGTGTCAATCATATAAGGTGAGAAAAATACATTTTCATATCAGAGATCAACTCTTCGCATTACATGGTTATATCCATAACAAATGAGGTTGAGTTATCAAAATTATTTTTCTTTCCATATGAGAAAAGCAAGTGATGTTATGTAGTTGCTCTGATTCAGCAGGATTGGACACTTTCTTCACACAAAAGTTACCATACCACCATGCATTGTGGCTGCAATAGTTTTCCTTCTGTTGTGTACAATTAAAAGAAGCCTTATTCTGTTATAATAATTTTACTTTTAAAGACTCCCTTTGTCATTCTATTTTCACAAATGAAGTTGGTAGCTTTAAAATTACATAATGTAAGTTCCCGAATAAGAGGAAGTGTTGAAAAAAGATTGTCAAATATGTAATATGGATGGGGATCAATTGCCTCCAAAATATCTCTGATCCTAAGCACTAGAGATGGCTGGAGATAAAGCACTTTTTCAGCTGAGAGTTGTCTAAGCTTCCTGATGTGGTTCATCCATAAAACATAATTCTTTAGATGGGTCACTATCCCAGAACTTGTAGCCATATCTAATTAGTTTCCCACAAAAGAATTTTTTACATTCATGACGATCATAATATGGCACCATTACTTCTCACGATTTCGAGAGTATCAAAGAGTATACTCACAGTGCAGTGCCATTTCTGGAAATTCCATGTTTAGTAAAGTGAAAAGTTATCTTAATTTTTCAAAACAATCATTACAATCAAAATTTTCAATATTTCAATGACGTTTTGACTAGGAATTTGAATCTTTCTCTAGACATTCCATTTGTCATCTTCATTGTGGGTTTCTTAACATTTTTCCCAGGAAAGTCTTCTTCTTGGAACCTGATTATATCCTTTAAAAAAAAAGAATATCTTAAAAGAATTTCATTTATTCTTCCATGATATCACTTATTTTTTTGTAGCTGCATGTAATGTGTTCTCCCAACAATTCCATTGCATCAAAAAATGTCCCAAAATATTTCAAGTGGTTATTCATTGTTGAATACCTCTTGATTACAAGTCACCCCTTTTCAATTGACATTAATTACTCTTGAATTTAAAAACCTTGCCACAAGATACACTAACAGGTTTTCTTTGAGAATTTGCAGTTGCCTTTATTGAAAGACTGGTTGAAGAACCATTGTTAATGTGAAGTCTTTCAACATCACTGTTGAATAGAGCATCATTATTTATATTGAGTAGCTCCACTTCAGCATTTGGCTGTGATCCTGGAAGAATTTAGAATGAAACGGTCTTCATCTGCAAAGTTCTCGTCTGACATCTCGAGTTTGTAAGAGGCAAGGTCCACTGCATGTGATAATTTGTCATTATTATTATCATCATCCTCTAACTATTGAGAGTAAAAGCCTCTGGAAGTACGAATAGACACGTCATCAACAATCTAAACTAACTATATTGATGTAACTGCAATGTACCCTCAAATATGTATTGTCCTTACGAAAGAACACTAGACCAGGAAATCAAATGTTGTTAATGTTAAAAAAAGTTCAAATAGGCATTATTCCAAATGTATGTGTTTATAAAAACAATTTTCAGTTTATTAGAATTTCTTGCTTTGCAATTTTGGAGGGAGAAGCTTATGTGATATGCTTAATGATGATAAATTAGGAGTAGGACAATTGTAGTGTGTGTGATGATTGTTATTCCATGTTAGGTAGGAAAGAAGGGAAGTTTAGGGTGGACAGAAGAGAACACAAATAGTAAGAGATGTACCTGAAAGATCAATTTTTGCATATAATGCTATTACTATTGATGGCCGTAGTAGTAGTAATTGTTGTTGTAGAAGTTGTAGTAGTAGTAGTAGTTGCAGTAACATATAATGGTTATAAGTAAACCTGAAGTTTGAACTAACTACAATGCACATTCTCTATCGTAAAGTTTGTGAAAATGAAAATCTCTCTGCAATCTAGTCCTTACTGGTGTTTGAGTGGTTTTCTTTATAGCTCAAATGTTGATATGAAAAGAAGTATAACTTCAGGGTAATCTTTGACTTAATAGGATAAAATAGTACTGTAAGAAAAGTTATATCTTGAGTTTTGTTATGATGCGTTTACATTGTATTGAAGACTACTTTCCTAAATGCTAGTTCATATTTCTTTTACATTGCATTGGTGAAGGCATTAAGGGAGGGATTACTCCATTTCATGGAGTTACTTTGATGTTTTAATACCATTTAAAATGCACATGTATCTTAGCTGCATGTTTTTGTAATAAAGTTTCATTCCCTCTTATTTTAATTTTCTTTGCAAGGACAATGGATGATGTGGCAAAATACCGGCAGAACAAATCTATAACAGTCAAAGGCAATAATGTACCTCATCCCAGCCAGTTCTTTGAAGAAGGAAATTTTCCAGATTACATCATGCAAGAAATACTGTAAGTATTTTGACATTTACTGGTTAAAAATTTAATTCTTGCTTCAAATCAAAACCAAGCCTTATTCATGTTGTTTTCCCCATAGCTTATAATTTTATCAATATGAAAGCTACTTTTCCTTAACTATTCACATAGTGTAACAAATTCAAGTAACTTGGTAAATTTTGAACTTAAGACTTGATGCAATTTAGCGGTTTGGGTGTTGCAGAAGGAAACATAAGATCACCTCTAATACATTATTGCAATAGTTTTGAGATCTTTGTTTTTAATATCCTTTTTTACTGTCAGCAGTAACCCTCCAATCACTGGTCTGCATGATTCTATGGTTTTCTTTAAAATATGTCGTCTTTATAAAGTAAATTATCCTGATTTTGAAAATTCAAACTTTTCCCTTTCACATTCCATTTTTCACAATTACTATTTTTGTGATCAATGTATTGGATGTTACTTCTATTCAAAGCAAACTAATATCATGAAATTTGTTGTTGAAATTGTTACGTTTGGCTACACTGTAGCATGCAACACTACTTCATACATTTGCATACATTAACGTTGAGTATACTAGTGGTTTTCTGTTAGTGAGCAGTTAAAGTTCTGAGTGGATGTATTATTTGCTTGATGTCTCTTTTGAAAATGTAAAAATAATCCTGACAGATTTTTTCACATTTGTGAGAGTTTTCCTTTAATATTTCTTATATTGTATAAAATTGACATGTGATGGAGCAAAACAATGTCAAATTTATATTCAGCATGGTCACATTAAAATTATTCGCTTATTAAAATAAGAACCCGAGCCAAAAATTTAAAATGTTGGAGCATAATTGAAGTTCAGAATAAACTATAAATTCAAATGAGTAATACATCTCAACAGGTTCTTTTGGACTGTTTATATCATCCTACAAATTGCATTCAACTAAACTGTACAAATGCTATGTATTAAGCAATGAGATTCATAAAACTTGTGTCCCATGAGCATTGCGTTGACAGAATGGGCAAAGCGCTAATGTACTGTTTCGCATAGTGTAGATCGTGATAGATAGAGTGTAGATAGAGTGTGTTCGCATAGTGTTAATCTATGATGCATGTTACTTAACCCATGTCATGTGTGCTGGGGCCCTAAGGCTTGAGCAAAACTCACTGTATGCATCCTGTGTTAATACAAAAATTAACAGATGCAATAACATACAAAATAATGCAATACAAGTAAATGCTGACATTTAGTTGTAAATGTTTGTAAGTAAACTTAAGTGTAATCTTAATGTTCTCAGCCTACTAGTGAGTAGGTTATTAAATAGTGCTGTTTGTTAGTTCACACTGATATTGCTAGCTAGATAAGAATGGATCACAACTCTTGTGATTCTGCAATGAGATCAGTGATGGAGTACTGGTTGCAGAACAGAATGTTCTGTTAAGAGAAACGTAAGAGTGGAAGCCAGTAGCAGTTCCTCAGGGGGTGGCGAGAGAGGAAACTCCTCTTCACGCATTTTCTTTCTCTAAATGTAATTACCAAATAAAATATTTGCCGAGATGTAAGAGAGGAATTGTGTAATTTTTTAGTCGATAGCGATGAGGAAAGTGAAAACAATCTATATCACTCCAAGGAGGATCTGTGGGCCTTTCCTCCTCTTTGCATATATTGTTCAAGCTTGCTCCTCTTTGTCTATATTGTTCAGCATTCCTTCCAGCTGAAGAGACAAAAAAAAAAATTTTTTTTTTTGAAAGATATAAAGACAGAATGCGGGTGATGCATGCCAGAGCAAGCCTGTAAGGATCAGGATGCACATGGTCATGGGCAGAGCAGCTAACACATTCTCACTGAACATCCAAATTAAACTGATAGGTCTTTCAGTTAGTCTTACCCTTGTCTAAAACATTAGAGAAAAATCGCTTCAATTATCTTCAACTTAGGTTTATTCAAGAACTTGCATATAATATTATATGAATATTAGTAATGGAAGCAAAAGCGATTTTGACAGATATGGACATCTAACAAAATACATGTTAAAATACGTTTTTATAAGTTGCATAATTAATTATACTACTGCAATTATACAATGTACAGAAAGCTAAATTTTTAAACCACACTATAAAGAAATCTGAACATTTAGATTTTTTATGTTGACTCTTCTTATAGAGAGGCAGATTAGAAGTACCGTAAGTGGGTTTTTGTGATGTTGCTAGGAATAATGAGTGATAAAGAAATTAGTAAATCAGAAATATAAATTTAGCCAAAATTTGATAAAGAATTTCAGAAAAAGAAGGTCACAAAAGAGGCAATGCAAAGAATGCAAGGAATGCAAAGGACAAAATTTACTAGAATAGTTTTTGCATAAAAACAAGAAGGAAGAAAAAAATGAGCACTTACCAAGCTAAGTCACTAAGTCTACTGCTAGCATAAAAAGAACAGATCCTGAAGCCTAACGCTCTGTACTTCGTTCATTATGAATATTTATTTTAAACAATTTCACATTTTTCTTATGACATTGAAATTTTTAAAGCTTTTAGATCAAACTAAATACTGAAAACCGTCTGGAGGACTACATTACGTTACTATGAACAAACAGGTTGCTTCTGCAAATACTGTATGCTCCCGGAAGATAAAAGGAATGCAAAGAAGCATTTTCCTAAATTTCTCATTTGAAATATGCCGTCACATCTTGTATTTGCAAATTAAGCCGTGATGAAGTGGGTTTGATTTTACATGTTAATGTGAAAAGCTGCAATGAAATATATGTAATTATATTATCACACTATATCTATAATACTACATCTATAATGTCCAATTATATTCATTGTATTCTTGTCTTACACCGTAAATTTGTTAGACAATTCACACAAATATTTTTGAATGAGCAGGTAAAGAGAGAATCTCAAACAAATGACATTGTATCAAGTAATTCATAATGTAAAAATTAAAAGAAATGCCAAAATTTTGCTGTGAGATGTTAAATGATTTCGGTATATTAAGATTGACTTGGCCAAACACATTCTGTTAGATCCCATTGCCAAGTCTTAAAATGTTTTGCAAAAGATGAAAATACATAAATTCACATTAAAAGAAGTTTGCATTCTAAATCCTACTACAGAAAATGATGATAAAAAATAGCTTTGTAGCAATAACTTCCCAAAGTTGGGAACTTAACACAATCTCCCACATTGTCCGCAAAATGGACGTAAAGAGAGATGAGAGTTCCCAGTTCACAATTCAATCACATGAACATTAAACATAGCCAGTTTCACATGTATACTGTTAAAAAAGATGAAAACTCTTTAAAATGAGATGCCATGAACAAGACCAGGATCACAAGAAAATCTGGTGATACAGAGGAGTGTTCTTAAATGCCTTCAGGTGAAAGACGTAAGAATGCAAATGCAATGCATTAACATTTCAGAAGGGCCTTAAAATCAGAGGATGCAGCAGTATAAGGGGAGGGCCAAAAAGAAAATGTGTGAAGAGGAAGAGTTGTAATGCAATAATTATCCTTTCAAGGTACAAGAAAATAGTATTATCTCAGGCAAAATGTTTTAAAATTTCCATGAACACATTTCCAAGGGCCCTTTCTTAAATGAACCACCTTCTTTGTTATCTAAATACAAAGAATTAGTTAAATTTTGTTTAATATTCTCAGGAGGCCTCATCAGAATCAGGGAGTTGTCTTGTATCGAGTCTAAATAAATTACAGTATTTTGTTAGCTCAAAATAACTTGTTTTTCATCATAGTAGTTGTATTCAATTTAATGAAGCCTTTGATTTAAATGTCGTCGTCTTCCAATAGCATTACAGCCCGGTATGGGCTGAGCTGCCTTCGCTCTATACACCCATTCTCCTCTTCTCTCTGCCTTGCCCCACCATCCAGTAACCTTGTTCTTCATATGTCTGCCCACATCCTGGATGCATCTTGTTTGTCTGCTTGGTCTTCCTACTCCAATTATTTTTCCATATAGCATAATCTTAGGCAGTCTATCCGCTCCCATTCCTTGCAAATGACCAGCCAAGATAGTCTGTGATTTCGCAAACCTAACTATATCCTTCCCTTTTTGAAATATTAATTTCCTCATTATACCTTATTCTCCATCTTTAAATGGATGATAGATTTTTCTGATCACTTTTCTTTCAAATGTACGCAGGGTCTATATTATGATATTGGTTAAAGTCCATACCTCCGCCGTGTGACTACTGGTCTGATGCTTGTTCTATATAGTTTGACTATAGTTTTCCTAATCTAAAGTACAAAGTTTCATATTTGCATTATTGGCTTTATTACCATGCAATATTTGTATTGTTGAGGCTTACTCCAAGATATGTAAATTCACTAACTACTTCAAAATGATTCCATTTCTCCTTCTACTCTGCAACCTTCTCCTAGACTCATTTGATGACATTCTTATGTACTTAGTTTTATCCTTGCTTATATACAGGCTGATTTTCTTTCTATGTCTTGTAGGATATCACTATTTCTTGCTATTAGCACCACATCATCAGCATTTGCAAGACATAAATAGATTTGTATATTATGCTTCCCCTTTATAAAGTTTCCTTATTGCACCATGAAGTTTTAGGTTAAAAAGAATTGCAGGAAGCGAATCTCCCTGTTTAACATCAGATGTTATTATAAAGCTCGCACTCGCACTACCTCCTACATAAACTTAATACTTTGATTGGACCATTTAAATTTTAAAGATTTTAATTAGTTATTAGGCATTTCATCTTTCTTCAAAACAATGAATAGTTGCTTCTATTTGATACTATCAAAAGCTTACTTTCAATTCGATAAACAGCATATGTAGATATATATTATATATTTCTATTATTTGCCTTACAATGAAATGATGCTTCCTCTACTTATTCTGATTACACATTGGTAGTCATTAATATTTTTTGGGGGCAAAATTAGTAAATTTTTTTTTCACTAAACTTGAATATATTCTATAAATTGTATTTAATAATGTAATGTCCCATAATTTTTACATCCAAGTTTATCACTTTCACAAAAAATTGGACTTTTATAAAAAATTCCCCATTTTTCCATTCTCTTGATATTTTCTTTAAATTCGAAATTTTACATATATTATCAAAAGGCCTTCAATAATTCATTCCCACTTTTAATTAATTCTCCTATTAATCCATATTCACCTGGTGCTTTACCATTCCTGATCAATTGTACAGCCTCTCTTATTTCCTCCAGTGTTAGTGTTATCACTTTAATTTTATTAGGGTCTTCTAGCATTTCATCTTCCACTAGAGGCTCATCTTTATCTTCATTTATCCTATTCAGTAGTTCTCTATAAAATTCAGCTCCTCTTCTCATTACTCATGTTTTCATTCTGAAATATTTTGCTATTTTTCTTTACATAAACCACTTGGGTTGATATCCTTATGTCATAGTTTTTACTGCTTGATAGAATTTTCTACTTTTCATATTATTAAGTAGTTCAATTTCCTCTATTTTAAATATTAGTGATTTAAATGTATCTTGGGATTATTCGTGAGAGTTTAAATTTGTATTTTCTGAGACTAAATTTTGAAAGATCTGAAATCTTTTGATTACTTGAAGTTGCACAAGTTGGTAACAATCAAAAGTTTGTTAAAAATGCAGATTTAAAATTAAAAAAGTGAATAGCATTTTTAGTTATAAGAACACACACAAGATGTGGAGTAGTTTAAAAACTGTAGGACATCATTAAAAGTTAAATAGACCAGTGTTGTAAAATCATAAAAATTATAGTGGTGTGCACTGCCAAACTAACAGATAACACATGATCTTGTGAAAATTACAAAATAATAAAATATAAAGTAATAGATTGCATAGTTCTGTTATTTCATATTACATAACTGTTAGTCTGTTGCTAAATAAATATGGCTATTACTTTCAGAAAGCAAGGATTTTCTGAGCCAACTGCTATTCAGGCTCAGGGATGGCCTATTGCATTAAGTGGAAGAGATATGGTGGGAATTGCACAAACAGGGTCTGGGAAAACTCTTGCTGTGAGTCTTCATGTTATTGTTGTATCCATTTATTGTATGAAATATAGCTCAAAATTAGTGAAATGGGTTTCCTTTTTCTAGTATGTGCTGCCAGCTACAGTTCATATTAATCATCAGCAGAGATTAGCACGTGGTGAAGGACCCATTGCACTCATATTGGTTCCTACTAGGGAATTAGCTCAACAAATTCAGACTGTCGCCAGAGATTTTGGAGCCTCCTCTCTGATTCGAAATACCTGTGTGTTTGGTGGAGCACCAAAAGGGCCACAAGCCAGAGATCTGGAACGAGGAGTGGAAATAGTGATTGCTACACCAGGACGTTTGATTGACTTCTTAGAAAGAGGAACGACCAATTTGCGACGTTGCACATACCTTGTCCTTGACGAGGCTGATCGTATGCTGGATATGGGTTTTGAGCCACAGATTCGCAAAATTATTGAGCAAATCAGGGTAAGTATGCTATTATTATTAGAACAATATAATTTGTCTGCATAAGAGTATTTCAAAGACAAAAGGGGCTTCTGTTGGATATGTTTGTATGTACCCATCTAAATTCAAACATAAATAAATTTAAATTTAACGTTCTATGCATTGAACAATTCACTAATCAAATATTAAAATTCAACTTGAAAGATAAGAGCAATGTACCCTGGGTATCTCTCAATAAAAACATTGTATGACCCATTTCATGCGAATAATTTTAACTTCTAAATAATAGTTAGGTATCATCTTTATAACTATTAATATATCCAATAGAAACTCCCAAATCCTCCAGTCCATTCAGATCCATCAGGGAAAATCAATTTTGGAAAAAATAGGCTGAACAGTTTAGACACTACAGTTGTACACAGACATACTGATAGCTGAAAGGTTGATTCATTGAAAAATTCATTCATTTTAATTCCAGGAGCTTTAAGAGCAAAGATAAGTAGTTGTGTAAGTTGAGTACATGTTTTTCTCTGGCGATAGCAGTGCCTCCCCCTCTCTCCCTCCCTCCCACCCCTCCCGGGATGGCTACATCCGATGCCGACCTACCGTCAACTAACGGAATTTTCCCAACCAGCTACCTCCTACCAGAGGGGCATCCCCCCATCCGGGACAAGATCTAAGCTCCTGACTGGTCTCCCGGCATGTGTGGTGCATGCAAGTGTTGTGTGTGGGGGGTTGAAGTGTGTGTGGGTTGAGTGTGGGTTGGGAGGTTTGGGTGTTTGGGGTTGCAGTGTGTGTGGGGGTTGAGTGTGGTGGGTGGTGGTGTGTGTGTAGTGTGTGTGTGGGTTGTATGTGGGGTAGTTGTGTGTGAGTGTGGGGGTTGAGTGTGTGCTGGTTGGTGGTGTGGGGTTGAGTGGTGTGTGGTTGAGTGGGTGTGTTGGTTATGTGTGTGTGGGTTGGTGTGTCGGGTGTTGAGTGTTGTGGCTGTGGGTTGAGTGTGTGGTGGGGTTGAGTGTGTGGTTGTGTGGGGTTGAGTGTGTGTGTGTGGGGGGTTGAGTGTTGTGTGTGTGTGGGTTTGAGTGTGTGTGGGGGTTGGAGTGGGTGGGGGTTGATGGTGGGGGGTTGAGTGTGTGTGTGTGGTGTGGGGGTTGACGTGTGTGTGTGGGGGTGGGTGTGGTGTGTGGGGTAGTGTGTGTGTGTGTGTGGGGGTTGAGTGTGTGTGTGTGTGTGGGGTTGAGTGTGTGTAGTGTGTGTGTGTGTGGGGTTGAGGTTGGAGTGTGTGTGGTGTGTGTGGGGTTGAGTGTGGTGTGTGTGTGTTGGTGGGGGTTGAGTGTGTGTGGTGTTGTGGTGGGGGTTGAGTTGTGTGTGTGTGTGTGGTGGTGAGTGTGGTGTGTGTGGGGGTTGGTGTTGTGTGTGTGTGTGGGGTTGAAGTGTGGTGTGTGTGTGTGTGTGTGGGGGTTGATAGTGTGTGTGTGGGGGTTGAGTGTGGTTGTGTGGGGGTGGTGGGTGTGTGTGGGGAAGTGTGGTTGTGGTGAGTGTGTGTGTGTGGTGGTGGGGTTCGAGTGTGTGTGTGTGTGTGGGGTTGAGTGTGGTGTGTGTGGTGGTTGAGTGGTGGTGGTTGGTGTGGGTTGGTGTGTGTGTGTGTGGTGTGGGGGTTTGATGTTGTGTGTGTGTGGGGTTGAGTGTGTGTTGGTGTGTGTGGGGGTGAGTTTTGTGGTGTGAGTGGTTGTGGTGTGGGGTTGAGTGTGTGTTGAGTGTGTTGTGTGGTGGGGGGGGTTGAGTGTGTGTGAGTGTGTGTGTGTGTGGGGGGTTGAGTGTGTGTGCAGTGTTGTGTGTGTGGGGGGTTGAGTGTGTGTGAGTGTGGTGGTGTGTGGGGGGTTGAGTGTGTGTGAGTGTGTGTGTGTGTGGGGGTTGAGTGTGTGTGAGTGGTGGTGTGTGTTGGGGTTGAAGTGTGTGTGGAGTGTGTGTGTGTGTGTGTGTGGGTTGAGTGTGGTGTGTGTGTGGTGTGTGGGGTTGAGTGTGTGTGAGTGGTGTGTGTGTGTGGGGTTGAGTGGTGTGTGTGTGGGGTTGAGTGTGTGTGTGTGTGTGGTGTGTGTGTGGGGTTGAGTGTGTGTGTGTGTGTGTGTGTGTGGGGTTGAGTGTGTGTGTGGGTAAAGGGTAGGGTAGGAAAAGGAATGGGATGAATAGATAAGTGTGCCACAAGGTTTTTGAGAGGTTAAAACTAGTTGTTTATGTGATGGAATGGATGGAATAAAAATATTAAAAAACATTGACAAACTGAAAGTTTTAATTTACTCCGGCCAAATTCCGTAATCTCTATCTCCAATTCCTTCTGCATGGCTGTGAATCTACAATGGTTAAATTTTCGTGGGTGTAAGATAACGTGGAGATTGCACACCATTCATATAAACTCCTTCCTTAAGAAACCCTTCAAACTCCATTAAAACTAGTACATCTACCTCAACTCCTCCCCACTTTCTTACCTTCCTTTCTCTTTCCCCAGTGTGTTTACATTCTGTATCTTACATCCAGTATGTGTGTCTGTGTGTGTTGTATGTGTGTGTATTGCAAATGTCTTGGAGACTCGTTAAAATATTTATCGGTCACATGAGTGTTTAATGCTTGTTATCATGCAACTCTATAAGTTTTAAGTGCATTTCTACCGGCTTGTAGATTAAGAAATTTAAAATCCTTAGCGACGGGTGTTAACATCCTTAGCAACGTAAATAAACAACCATAGATTCATCGCAATTCAAATGTTTAAGAAAACATGGCTATGTACAAAACAAATCAGATCCAAACAATTCGGAAGGAAAGTAACACATACTAGTTTTTGGGATAATTTATTATTATTCAATTGTAATTAATAATTATTTATTATTATTACCATTAATTAATTGTAATAATACTACTGTTAAATGAAATGTATATTAGGTAAATTAATCTTGTTTTCCTGGCATTCCACCAAATAAATACCTTCTGGTATTCATATTTACTGACGATTTGAAGTTGTCACCACTGGAAGTTGGCGTGCAATCTTACCCAAAGAGTATCATTTCTTTAGGTATCTTTAGATTCAGGAGAATTATTTGCATCCATTGTTCCTCGAATCACGGTATATGAATATAGTATGATGTATCGCAAACGCTACCCCCCCCCCCCAAATATCGTAGTAATTTGCCGCAGCAACAGAATTCATTTGTTTACGATCGCTAACTAGTAATGTAAATATTCGCATAAATCGTGAAATTTAATGATGACCGATAAAACGCCGAACATACCACGAAATGTTTGTGTTATTACTGCCTCGTCCAAATTAAAAATTTCGGCTCCGCTACACTCCGCCGCGATTTTTAACTTTTGGTATTGGCAGTAATAACACTCATAACATTTTTAGGTATATTATTAGCTATAATTTTAACAGGTTAGGTTATTAAAACATTTAATTTATTAGTGTCGTTTGAGTATTTTAATTGCTGCTCTTTAGCAATAGAACAGTAAAACATCATTTATACGTTTTTCAGAGGACTGGCGGGGAAAAAATGTGTGAGAGAAACTCATAACTGAAATTGAGCAAAATAAAAACTCAATATTTTTACACTATCATTTTCTCAGTTTTTAGCAATATCTAAATTTTATTGCCACTCTCCCTAACATTTAATTTTTTTCATTTTATTTGATATTGAAACTTTTCTTACATCTTTTTAGTTTAATACAGCGAACGCAAAACCAGATAGAAGACGAACTATATATCATAGCCTCAGAGCCACAAATTAAAACACTGGTCAGCTTTGAATAAATATTGAAGGTCATCAAATAAGTCTCCCCTGAGGTAGAGGTAACGGGACCTTACCGCTGACCTTGTGCGACTGCGTGTCCAGCATGGGCTACAACTGGCGGCGGCGGCAACACGCGGCTGGTTGCTTCGATTTCAGGCATGATGTTACTAGAGGTTCCGCGGGTCAAAGCACGGTGTTCTACCAGGGCGACAGGAAGCGTAAGATTGCCACAGCCTGGCGACACGCGCCGCGCGGCGCGGAAAAGCAATCATTTTAATGTGCTGCTTGTGCCATGCTGCTACCGAAAGGATCTCGTTTATTACGGCGAGCTAAAAAGACCTTCGGAGAGTGGGTCAGTCAGTGTACAAACTTCCTTATTTATTGGTTGTTACGTCGTTGCTGTCTTCCGCGAACGCCCTTGACCTTCGGTGCGAGCCATCACCACCTGTGATCCTCAGAGGGCTCCCGTACGCACAGTATATCAATTAGAAGTATCAGAAAAACTTAACAAAAATTAAGAGATCAGTGAAAATTACAAAGTTTACCTGAGATGAAAATATGTTAGCGATCCCCACTTATGAATATCCTCCCAACAAGAGAGAGAAATAGTTTTCCTAATTTTTCTTAAGAAAGGGGGTGCAGCTTAATTTCATTAAGACATAAAACTTTGAAATGATTATTTGGTAAGGTTTACTGATTGTCTGGAAACATTCATCAGCTTTTCTGTCGTGTTAAGATGTTAATTGCCAATTACCATATTAATGAAATATTTGGTGGAAATTGTTAAAATACTACATTGAAATGCACTGAAACGAAACAGAATAAAGTACATGTAATTTAGTTATTTTCATTGTATGTTGCTAGATTAAAGTAGAATTATTATTGGGCAAAAATGACCTTAAAATAAAGATAGTTTTCAATCTTGTTCATGTGTGTGGGGAACGATAGTTCTTGGAAAATTACTATTGCAATTTACATTTTCATCATCCAACAAAAAAAACTTTAACCCTTCAACCTGGAATGACAAGGTAATCATCATCATCATCATCTTTCCTTCACTCTCTGAACCTACATGGGTTTTTCCCCCTTTGCAGGGGGATTCTGTGTGGAGATAAGAGTGCTTTAAACTAGTTATCTGCTCCTATGGTGACACACATGGACCCTTCCTTTCCTTGTGCTAGAATATTTCCATGCCTAACCTAGGCTGGCCATTGAAGGGTTAAAATATTACTTCTCATTGTATAGGCAATATCCCCTAAAAGTTTTATAGGATTTTTTTACTATTTAAGATTAAGTTTCATTTCTTGATAGAATTTAAAAATATAACATATACAATATTTTATTTCACCTCCTGTTTGGGGGTGACACCTTAAATATAAAGAGGGGGGAGGGCTTCAAAGTTGTTTGACATGCAAGTATCTTCAGATGACTTCAATTTAATGTTACATGATATGACTATAAATTTGTTAAACATTTAAAAAGAAGTTTCCTAGAGACATTAAACTATTTGTTCCATTCTATTGTTTTGTAAACTTGATTGATATGTACTACATTGATAGTTATTATTGATATTTGCAAGTTATACTCGAGGTCATTACTAAGCACTAATGTGAGATTTTTATACACTTTTATTTAGCCTGACCGCCAGGTGCTGATGTGGTCAGCTACATGGCCAAAAGAAGTGCAAGCTTTAGCTGAAGATTTTCTTACTGACTATATACAAATTAATATTGGATCTTTAAATGCTGCCAATCATAACATAATGCAGATTGTAGATGTCTGCCAGGAACATGAAAAAGAAATAAAGTGAGTTGTATGTGGGAGACAAAATATATTTGAAAACCTTTTCTTTCTGATTTTTATTTAATTACGATAAAACTTTTTGCTTTTTCAGGCTGTCAAAGCTTTTGAGAGAAATAGCATCTGAAAGGGGAACAAAGATGATAATTTTTGTAGAAACAAAGAAGAAGGTAGATGAAATCTCAAAAGCTATTCGTAGAGAAGGGTAAATGTTTTTCCCATATCCATTGTGCACATCATGATAGTGGTATGTTACTACTGCTTGAAAGTTATGCAGTTACATTTAGTCTGTACTGCTTAGAAGATTATTTCAGATATACTCAACATCAGAAGTGTTGAAGTGTAAAAGATTTTGTAATTTTTGTTCTTTATGCATCAAGCACATTAGTCTGGATGATGATAACATCTTTGAGGTTCTCAGTGTGTTTTGTTTTTCTTTCCATGCAGTTCTACGTCTAGCGTGGGATTTGGGAGGGCTTGAGATCTCGTGAAAAATGCTGTGAACCAGACATATATGATGGGTTTGCTTCAGGACGATGGTGTTTCTCTTCCAAATGACAATCTGGTAACTTTGGTTGACACAAAGTATTTCTTTAGTGTCAACTAAGGGACAAGAATTCACCCTTCTGATGCTGATCCTTATTATGCTTCCTAATGAGTTTAATCTGTACACCTTTGGTATTCTAAAAGCATTATTTAAAATGAATTATCTTTCAATATTTTTGATTGAGTAATTGAAGGTACTAAATTACAATTAGCCCCTTCCATTTCATTTCTAGTAGTACATTGCATTATTTAGTCTATTTGTGCATGATGTATGGCAAATAAACAATTTTACAAAAATATTTTGATTTCATAAAGTTCATTCATATTGACTTTTAAAATAAGCATGGGATTTCTAAAACTATTACATGCTTCTTCAATTTCTTTTTGTATGTTATAGTTGGCCTGCAATAAGCATTCATGGTGATAAATCACAGCCAGAACGTGATTATGTTTTGTCAGGTAAAATATTTTGGTCATTTTAGACTTTTCTTTTTTCTTCTGTACTTTTGTTAAATAAAGAAATATATGTATGTTTTAAATTTTCAGAGTTTCGTAATGGAAAGTCACCAATACTTGTTGCTACTGACGTTGCAGCTCGGGGATTAGGTAAGTATATTAAGTAAATTATATCAGATATTATTTCAGTACTATCCCTTCATGAATTTTAACCATGATTACCTTTCAGATATTGAAGATGTGAAATATGTCATAAATTTCGATTATCCAAACACTTCTGAAGATTATATTCATCGAATTGGTCGTACTGGTCGCTGCAATTTGAGTGGAACAGCATACGCTTTCTTCACTCCAAATAATGCTCGTCAAGCTAAAGAACTTATTGGAGTTTTGGAAGAGGCAAATCAAATTGTTAATCCTAAATTAATTGAAATGGCAAACTTGGCAAAGAACAATATGGGTGGTAAGTAGGAAGATAATTGAATTATAGTAGTTTTAATTCCATATTTTATTTAAAAATTTAACTGTGTGCGTGTTTGTGGTAGGACGACATCGATGGAATAATCGTAACAAGGAAAAAAATAACAATGGTAATACTTCATCTGCAAGAAATTCCAGCACTCCCAGTAACACCTGGTCTCCTGGACAAACAAATGGCACTACTAAGTTCCGTCAGCCAGGGTCTGTACCTCGTTATTCTAATGGTACCAATAATTCATCTTCTCGGAGCAATGGAAGCGACAGTTACCGTAATAATGGATACCAGCAAGCCAATTTTGGGCAACAGAATGGGTACACTCATCAAAATGGTTATGCCCAACAGAATGGATATCCTCATCAAAATGGATATGCCCATCAAAATGGTTATTCTCATCAAAATGGTTTTGAGAATAATTATAGTCGACCACAAAATGGAAATAATGGAAGATCATATGGAGGACAAGGCCCACGCTATCAGAATCAGAGGTTCAGTAACCGTCACCAAGCCAATGGCACAGGCAACCAGGGTGGGGGTAATGGAGGTGCTATGACTGCAGCTCAGTCTCCTCACCATGGAATGTATTCCATGCCACCACCTTTCATGATGGCATCTAACAATGATGCTAACATGCAGAGCATTCTGAGCAGCAAGTTCTTCCAGTCCACCCGTCCACCACCCCATTCCAATCCTTGTGCTTATCAAAATATGGCAACAAATGCTTTCTCCCAATATCACCAGCCCATTCCATATGCCTATGGCTATGGACAACCCACTGCTGTTCAACAGTAAGCCCCCAACCCATCCTCCTTGGATGATACGGCCTCCACCTCGTATCTTGCTTCATTTAATTAATACTTAATCGCTTTTTGGAATGTATAACATGCAATTTGTTTGTGGTTTAATATATTTGCTGTAGTGAATATTCCAGTTATCTCAATCTCATCTTATAATTGGTGTGTGGGGAAGAGCACTTTTCAGTATTTGCTGTTCAGAAAAATCTGAAAAATTAGAAGGCCACATTCCAGATTGATTTTGTCTACTGCTGTAATTGTTCGTAGATTGAGACATAATATTTCTGTATGCTGTGGAGATGCACCGAAACATTCAGAAGGGGGGTGGGTTGGGGGCAGTGTTTTTTATTTAAAGTCTAGTAGGCCTCTTGGATACTGGGAAAGAACACAGGTCTGGACAGGAATTATTGGCCAGATGTGTTAAGTAGAAATGGGGGGGTTTCTGGCTGTCCCTCTATTATAGTTGGTGCACAATAACGCTCTGCGTTCTTTCCAGTGCCAGCAAGTATATTTATTAATTAATAGGATCATTGTTAGGTCATAAAGGACAATAACTTTTGTTGCAATAGTGTTTACCAGTTCATTGGTGAAGCTTCTAGGAAGTTAATTTTGTTTGTGACTGACTTATAGATTGATTGCCAGTCATTGAATATTCCTTAACCCCCTCAAGATCTGTCCGCCCTCAAGGGTCGTGTAAATAGTAGACCAGAGAGTTCAAATATTGTATAAATTAATTAGAGCCCATATTGTGGTTCATAACTCAAATACACTTTGTACTGTGATATGTAATATGTAGCTGGTAATTTTAACTTAATTGCGAGTCCAAGAGAAAGGTCGGTAGAACCAAGTTAACAACGATGCACAGTATTTTGATAAAAGGGAACATAAACTTGATCTGTTTTAATAGTAGTATCTGTATAGGGTGTGATATTTTCTCAAAGACTGATGTTGTGAAGGAGAGGTTTTAATGACTTTCTGCATGGATTATGCCAGAAGGTTTTGTTTACAGAATTTATTAGTTCGTATGTCTTCAATAAGAGTTTTCTATGGACCTTTTCTACTAAATTGACCACCTTGTGAGTTTGTTGTTGAATTTGTCTGCTCAGTTTTATTTCTGTCTAACAGATCACAAGGTTAACTTTAAGATAGTGGTGTAGTAAGGTTCATGAGCGTGTGTGTGAATGGTTCAAGGCTAACTAGGGGAATAGTTTCTCCTCCTACCTTTCTCATTGGAAGTGGCACGCAAAAAGAGAGTTAAAGAAAGGAAACTTATATCTATTATACAGTATAAAGCTAAGATTTTGTAAGTATTTAAAAAATGGTTTATGTGAATTCATTGTAGAATTCATTTTGAACATTGCACCAGTCTTCAATTTGTTGATACAAGGGAGGACCATCCTGCCAAATTAGCAAATATGTTAGTTTTTATCATGACACTGCAGTAAGATAATATAGTTTCATATTGCGACCCTTGTGAAAGTGATAGATGCATCTTCCTGTGAATCAAAGGAAGTAGCTAACTCTTCTGTAGGTTTCTTTTAAAGTGCATTTCTTGTATGTAATACAGTATTATTATAGTAAAAATGCAGAATTTTGTACTTTGATTCAATATCTTGTTATATGCTGGTTTATATGTGTGAATTACTATAATAGAGAGTAACTACTCTATAACAAATAAAATTCCTTATTTAATGGGTGAAAAAGTTTCTTTATTGTATTTCTGCCCATTAGTCCTACATCCTGAATTTCCATTGATAATGCTGTCCGTAGTTTTAAATTAAAAATAATAATAATAATAATAATAATAATAAACGTCATGTAATAGTTGAGGTAAGAACGCAAATGCACAAATAATTTGTGTTTGGCGCTTATGGTGTGCCGCATTTGACGAGTGCACTGCAGAACGACTGAACTGCACTCTCGTGGTTGCCATGAAAGTGTGGAGGCCATTCAACAAATCGATGAAACAAGTCAGCTACCATTGGCAGCCATAGGTGCTTGGTTCTAGAACGTTTGGAGAGTGGGTAAGTGAAGGATGCTCCTCAATAACTTCTCAGAGACTATTTATGGATTAATTTACTTGCTGTGATAATTATATTTTTCTGGTTAATGTAAGTATTAAGAAACCGCGTTTATTTATTCCAGAGGTATCAAGTTATTCAAGCATTTGCAGGAAGTGTCAATAGGATCTTTGTAATGTGAGTATGAACATTTTTGGATCATTTTTCAAGTGTCCCGTATTTGTTGAGCCTCTTTTTAATCTTTTGAGCTAACACGTTTAAACATAAGAATGTTTGTAGATAATTGCGAAAGGTTATTACGTGATCAATACATTTGCGTTCTGAAGTATAAAGTAGTATGCAGAAATTGATAATGAAGTTATATATTTATCGGAATTTCTAGTACTTGTAATTTATATTGCGCAATACTTTAATTTTCTACAAAAAGAACGTAAAATTGCAAATGGCTGCCTTTTTATATAGCAATTTTTTTAACGTAACTTGCCAATAAAAATAAAACTGCGTCGATTGTTGTATGTTATATAGAATAACGCTTGATTTCGCAATTTAATTACATGTTTCGTAGATTGATCCTTTTAGAGAACGTAGACAGTCGCGAAAGAACAGCTAGCGTTTAGTATTATTTTAAGGTTTTCTGTCGCATATTGAAAGGAGGTATAATTTTGGTCGAGGGTAATCGCAAATATGTTGGAAGTTTCCAGGTAGGTTATTAACCTATTAAAATCATGTAAATTAAGGTAATTTTTAGCGGGCGGCGATTCGAAAAGTTCAAGGCTGAAATAATGGCGTGTTGTACCAGGATACGTACAAGCCAATGTTATACATCGAAGGGGAGTATAAGGCACGTAAAGAACTTTTACGCATAGCATATTACGTGCATAGTTTTAAACCCAAATGAAGCGCTAGTCTGCAGTGTTCTTGCAAATAATTAAATTAAAAAACTGTTTTTGGACGAAAACTAATTCATTTCTTGCGTGGTAGCAGCAAATTCATAGAGAGAATTCTCCACTTAAGAATAGTTTGCAGTGCCGTAGAATACAACTATGCCCTTCCGTACTAGCGCAGTAGTCATTTTACCATGCAAAAGGTGATATTGTAGATTTTTTGTATTGGTGTTGACAAGAAACCGCCTGGAAGTGTTTCGTGAGTTTGATGGCGAAAAAAACAAAAAAAACACGAAATTTTCAGGAATATTTTGTTCTTTGCATAATAACTAGGTGTCATAAAATTCTCTTCTACATGCTTGAGAAATGAGTTTTGTTCATCACAGTGTGAGAGAGCTATGGTGTTTTCAAATAGCAGTAAATTTTCCATTTATTTTTTCTGAAGTTGCCCCAAATTACTAACAGGCTCTCTGATGGAGTGTTTTTCGGTTTGTAAGGTCATCTTAAATAAATGGTGGTTGAAGACCAATAATTTTTAAGATTTAGTGTGGACTTCTCTTTAAACATTGTAGTAGGAGTGATGCAGGGTATTATGTTCTGCCAATCAACATGATTCACTTATATCAAACAAAAGCATTTCAATAGAATAAAATGTTGTTCTTCATAATATTATTATTACTGTTACTTGGCGGAGCACAGAGTAGGGTGGAGGTCCGCAGACATATTGTCCTAATGTAGTAATTATTAACCTGAGATATTAGTTGAGAGAGTGACTATTTGACACAATGTAATGGAGGAGGACTCTAGCATGAAATCACTATGACACAGACACTCCAAATGCAGGACAGTTCTTCATGAAAAGCCTAGCACTTTTTCTTTATATCTGGAACAAACAGGACATAGTCAAACCTTGTATTTATATTTATCCAGATTTGTGTGATCATCAACGTCTAGAGTATACTTCAGATATCAGGTATGAACCACCTTGTGGGCTAGTTTGATATTTCACCCCAATTTTCAAGAGTTCAATTTCACCCCAATTCCTTGCTTCAATTTTCAGAGTTTTGAAAGGAGACTGGATAGAATGGTTCTGGGCTCAAACTGTAAAGTTGAACAAAATAATACTGTAATAATTGTATAAAGCTTAATTAGAAATGAAATAAATTATTACTCCTATTATTCTGGGGTAATTGCAGAGCATTCATGGCAAACTATTTTAATGACAGCTTCTGTACCAAATGAGCGTTGCGCGAAAACCACATTGCTCTCCAAAATATATTCTTTGTGCCAGTCAGCTGAGTAGCAGTATCAGTTGGCAGGAGTTTGTAATTGAATTTAGTTTCATGATGTGGGAGTTAGAAAATTTTTTTCTGAGAGATTGATTGTATTCCGCTATCATTAATGATGAAAAATAGCATCACAAATTAATACAAACGATTTCAAAATGCTGTTGGTAATGTGGGTAACTTAGTGAATTATGCCATCACACAGGAGAATGATGACTATTGAACTGGTAAACCCCCAAGTAGGCATTGTGGAAACCATCAGAATTCTGTTGCAATTAGAATAATTGATGTTTATAATTTCTGTTGATAGATCATTATGAGTAATGATCCATTGAATGGGCAGAAATGTGGTGGGTGAAAAAATGGGCAGATGGGTGGAAACCAGAACAGTACAAGTGATATTTTATAAATTTTGAGAAAACTATTTTTAATTCAATATCACTGCAAATTGATGTTACTTTGTTTCATTATTAAAACCATGGCACTGAAATATAGCCTACTCTATACATATTTTTCTCAGAATTTTTAAAATTTCACTCATACTTGTTTTGGTTTTCACCCATTCAATTTTTGAATACTGACAGACAGATTTGGTTAATTAATTTTGCAATTATGGTAATAATATTTAAATACTGTAGTTCATTTGTTCAACAATTCATGACTGGTAAAGCAATGCTTCATTGGAATGTTAGCCATGTATAATTAACACAAGATCACCTTTAATTGGTATTTAATATTTTATTAAATTTGGAATTTTACTGATTACACAACCGTGGAAAATATTCACACTACATTAAAAGGTT